AGAGATAGAGAGACAGAAAGCGAGAAATCACCCCCCCAGGAGGATGGCCATGCTACAATCCCTTCTCCTCCATTCTCCTCTCAGGATCTTGGGCACACACGCACATGCACCTGGCATGAGTTTAAGCCACCAGGTCCGGGACTCAAATCACAGTCAACTACATGGGAGTCCAGCGACATAGCCATTACACCGACTGCTGGTCCCACCCAGCATGAGTTTTAAGCTGTGGGGTCCCGATCTCAAACAGTGGTCAACTTCATGGGAGTGACATAACCATTTCACCATCTGGTCCTGGAAAGGTTGTCTTATATAGTCTATTTACATAATAAGTCTTACAAGTCTTATATATTTATCTTCCAAACAGAGACATTTGAGAGTAAAATCTGATGTTGGGCCAAAAGGCATAAATTGGGACTGTCTCAACACATGCTCACCCTATGTAGGTGGAGATGACCATTTCAGCACAAAAACATGAGGCCTATGCTTGGGTCAATTCTGCGGGATAATTTATTCAGTATATAAATGATATATCCTGCATTATCATTTTTAATAGATGGGGCTTTGCTTGCTAGGTATATAAAGTACAACAAATTTATTCTATATGATATTCTCGTTTCTTCCCTGCATGGGTTTACTCTAAATTTTATTTTAAATTACCTGTTACCATGTTGTTCACTGGGTAGTTCTGAAGAGGCAAGTACATCTGTTTTTCTATAACTGGAGTCCTTATAAAACTCTTTTCTGTGCTGTAAAGTTGAACATACAGAAAGTCACGTTCACAGTTTTTGGACTTGTTTTTATAAATGAGATCTTATTTAAAGTTAATATATATAGAAACTTAATTGCCCTTTGATCAGATTTCAGTTTTAATGGGTGAAAATGTTAACACAAACTTCTTTTGTATTTCTAAGGAATACAAGGACTCATGTACCGGGTCATCGGAAAAGGCATGATACATTTTTGCACAGAAAATTAGGTCATGACATCCCAGTAATTTGATAAATATTTTGAGGGTTTTTGGCCACTTCACAAAACAAATACTTATTGAGAGGGAGCTGGCAGGTGGTGTGGTGGTTAAGGTGCTGGACTCCCACATGGCCAACCATGTGGGAGTCCCAGACCTGGCAGCTTGCTTTCTCACTTTCCCTTGCTCTTTCTTTCACTTTGTTCCTCTCTGGTCAAATTAAAATAAATAAAGTAAAATAAAATAATTCTTTAAAAATACTTATTGAGATAATAGAGGCTTTCTAAATAATACATTTTTTCCCATACTATAACACAACAAATAAAAAGCAATGTCTAAAAAAACATGATGTATTGTACAATAAAATTTTTAAAAATTATTTCCTTTATTTTATTTATCATTATTGTTATTATTATTATTTTTAAATTTGACCCGAGTGAGACACAGAGAGAGAGCAAGGGAAGGGGCGAAAGCAAGCTGCCAGGTCTGAACTGTGGTCAGCCATGTGGGACTCCAACGCCTTTAACCACCACGCCACCTGCCATCCCTGAGGTTTACTTTTTATGGTATACTACGTATCATATCTACCTTGTCTATATCTATATGATACATATGTATGATGTGATACAGATAGGCATATATGATAGCTATATTTGAAGCAAAAACATAAGGAGACTTATGAAAAAAGTTTGTGAAAAAAAGGAATTAAAATACGAGTTTATATCAGTGAAAACATTTTTAACACACACAGTGAGTTTCAAGCCACTGAATCTGGGATTTGAATCACTGTTAACCATATAGGAGTCCAGCGATGTAACTGCTACATCTTCTGGACTCTTGAAATGACTTTTGAGTTTAAAAAAAAAAAAAATCTAAAATATACTCTAAATTATGCTTTGTGTGACTGTATGGTACAATCAATTATATTTTAAGTTTTAAAATGCTAAAATGTTCTCAATTAAAATAGCCTGTTTTCTTTCTTTCTTTCTTTCTTTCTTTCTTTCTTTCTTTCTTCTTTCTTTCTTTCTTTTTTAAATTTTGCCATGGGAACACAGAGAGAGATCTGGGGAGGGTGAGCGAGAAATCATTCCCCATATGGCATGGTCATGCTGCAATCCCTTCTTAATTTCTTCCTCCTGTCGAGATTTTGGGCACTCATGCACACACAGCCAGCATATTTTTCAAGCTGCTGGATCCAGAATTTGAACTGTGTAGTCAGCCATGTGGGATCCAGCTGCCTTAAGCACCATGCCACTGGCTGGCTCCTAAAATACCCTTTTTGTAACTGTGCCAAATAACAATGTTTACTATTCTTAGGCTACATATAACCAATAATACAATTGTATGAAAATGAAAATCTCAATTTAAAAAATTAAATTTAGGGCCAGCAGGTGGTGCAGAGGTTAAGATGCTAGATCACACACAGCCACATGGCACTGTCTTAGTCTTGGACCTGAAGGTTTAAACATATACCAGCTGCATGCGTGTGTGCCCAAAATTCCAAGAGGAGAAAGGAGGAGAAGGGAGGAGAAGGGATGTGGTGTGACTATTCCAACTGGGGGGTGATTTCTCATTTTCTCTCTCTCTCTCTCCCTATCTCTCCCCACCTTTGTCTCTCTCTGGTTAGCACATGCACTGTATATATAGCAAAATTTAAAAAAAATTTAATTAATTTTCCTAAAAATCCAAAATTACACTGATAGTGAAGACTTTTTAATTTCTTTTTAAAAATAATTATTTAACTTTATTCATTATTCTTCTTCAATTTGATCAGTGAGAGACACACACACACATACAGAGAGAAAGAAAAAGAGAGGAGCCATGTGGGAGTCCAGCACCTTAACCACCACGCCACTTTAATTTCTTTAAAGCAATTTCCTCTGTTTATCTCACCTTTGGGCCAGCCCATGGCATGGTGGGTACAGCAGATAGATCCCGCATGGCCTACAGTGTGGTTTGAGTCCCAGACACAGCGGCCTAAGAAGCATGCAGTCATGTGTGCATTCGTGTCCAAACTCCTGAAAGAAGAATGGAGGACACGGGATTGTGGTGTGACTACGGCCCACGGAGAGTGATTTTTCACTTTCTATCTCTTTCTTTCTCTGTCTCTCCTGGGTGAGTATATGTGTCCTCTGACAAATTGGAAAAAAAGAAAAGTTTATGAAAGTGTGATAAGAATAAACAAATCATAAACAATGAAATAATATGCCCTGCAGTGGCAGTACAAGAAAGAGGGTGCCACTGAGCCATGGCTAAGACTGCATGCTGGACCTGGGTTGGGTTCCAGGCATAACCAAAACAGACAAGGTGTACATGCCTATAGACCTAGCTGATTAGGAGGCTGGACGGGACAGAGGATCAGGATATGGTTTGATTCTGACAAAAATACTTCTCTCTGTCTCTCTCTCTCATGAAAATAAGCAACCAAGATGAAATACCGTGTGCAGCCACTACACGTCATAATATCAAGTAAGATTTTTTCAACAGGAGAAACTGTTCATAGAATATTAAATGTAAAATCAAGAGATAGACCATATATGCAGTATGAACTCAACTCTATTAAATGCATATATCTGCATAAAACTGGTGAGAAATGTAATAAAGTTGATGGTGTTAGCACTAACTGATGTGGTTGCTGTAATTTAAATTTGTATTCTTTTCTGTATTTTCCATTTTGAAAAATTACCTTCGTAATAATAATTTTTAAAAATTAAAATTAAAATTCATCCAATTCTCAGATGATTTTGAGAAAACAGAACAGTGGTTGAAAATCTGGACTCTGAATCAACTAGACTGGGTTTCAAAATCAGTTCCATTTCTGTGATAATACTGGATAAATGATTTAGCTTTCTGAAACATTCTTCAATTAAATGGGGGCTGGTAGTATTTATTTCATAAAATTGTGAGAGTTAAATGAAATATTGTGAACTGCTTAGCTCACAAGTTCCTTATATTTAGCAAGTGTACAATAATAGTTCATCACTTAGTAAATGTTTAATATTCACCAGTATTGTGCCAACAAAACAAATGCTTCAGGGTAGGTTGAGAATATATATTATCTATGTCCACACTGCACCCTCTGGTGGTTCCACAAAGAAAAGGCTCTAGGCAGATAACTATCTAACATTTATTCACATCCTTTGTCCATTTTTGTTGTTATTACTGGATTCGACATATTTTTTCTAGAACTCTTTGAATAGCAAGAAAATTAGCCTTTGTTGGAAAAGATCTTAAAACTGAAAAAAATTATATAAAGTAAGTTACTACTAATTTTTACATTGAAGAAAGACAACTATTTGAACTTACCTTTTTAAAAAATTTTGCCAGAAGGTGTGTGCACTCATGAGAGTTAGAGAGAGAGAGAGAAAGGGAGAAGAAAGAGAAAGCAAGAAAGTACCCTCGATGGAGCATGGTCACACCACAATCCCTGCTCCTCCACTTCTCTCTCCTTTTGGGATTTTGGGCATGCATACATGCACACAAAGTTGCTGGGTCCAGGACTTGAATTGTACAGTCAGCCATGTGGGATCCAGCCACCTTTTTTTTTTAATTATTTATTTTATTTTATTTATTTATTTATTTATTTATTTATTTATTTATTTATTTATTTATTTTGTGGTTGGCCATGTGGGAGTATCCAGTGCCTTAACCACCACGCCACCTGCTGGTCCCAAGGGATCCAGCCACCTTAACCCACACCATGGGCTGGACCTGATCATTTTTATTTCAGTAGCTAAATACCGGACTTTTGAAAAACTAATATTCCCTAGAAATATTTGGATACCACTGAATTGGAAAACATGGAATTAGGACTAGATCACTTATAAGTCTACAATGACAGGACCTCTCATAAATTGACCTAACACAATGGCAAGTCCTTGTTTGTTTGCCCTTTTTTTTTTTTTTTTTTTTTTTTTTTTTTTACACACGGTTTGGTCTTAGAGCACCTGCACTCACCTGAGAAAAAGAGACAGAGACAGTGAGAGGGAAAGTGAGAAATCACTGCCCAGGGGGACTGGAAACACCCCAATCCCTATTTCTCAACTCTCCTCCAGGGACCTTGAGCACACTCATACATTATACCTGGCATGATTACTAGTTACTAAACGGAGGACTCGAATCGTGGTCAGCCATGTGGGAGTCCAGCAACATAATTACTACATCATCTGCTGGCCCCTTGTTTGCTTTTTAAAAATTTGGTTTCTTCTTTTTTTTACAATTTGCCAGAGAATGTACTCATCAGAGACAGAGAGACACAGAGAGAGAAGAAAACAGTCCCCAAAGGGGCGAGGTCATGCTGCAATCTCTTCTCTATTTCTCCATCCTGTCAGGCTGTTGGGCACACACACACAACCTAGAGTTTTTCAAGCCTTTGGGGATAAGATTCAAACCATATGTTTGGCCATGTAGGATCTGGCCTCCTTAACCACTAGGCTATGGGGAAAGCCCTTAATTAATTAATTAATTTTTTTGGAGAGGTTTTCGCTATAAGGCGCGTGCGCTCGCCAGATAGACAGAGAGAGACAGAGAGACAGAAAGTGAGAGTTTTAAGCCACCGGGTCTGGGACATGAACCGCGGTCGACTATGTGGGGGTCCAGCGACATAGCCATTACGCTAACTGCTGGTTCCAAGGAAAGCCTTTAATTTTTAAGATCAAAGTAACTATATTACAAACTATATGGAAAGGAGAGGGTAAATAACCCTAACTTTCGATCCTAATAAAATTACTGGTAATCTTTAGTGCATACTCTTTCCTATTTAAAATATATATTTAAGGGATCAGCAGATGGCATAATGGTTACGTTGCTGGACTCCCACGTAGTTTACCATGGCTCAAGTCCTCCATCGACCTGATGACTAAAAACTCATGCCAAGCGTGTTTGCATGTGTGCCCAAGATCTGGAGAGGAGAGTGGAGAAGGGATTGCGGCGTGGCCATCCCCCCTGGGGGGTGATTTCTCGCTTTCTGTCTCTGTCTCTCTCTGTCTTTCTGGTGAGCACATGTGCCCTATAGCAAAAATCTCTCAAAAAACAAACCCCAATAAAATTAAAAAAAAAAAAAACTGTTCTCATAACATACATCAAATCCTCTCTCTTTTCTGTAAGGATAGTTGAGCACAACAGTTAAATGCATGGGCTCTGGAATTAGATTGACCCAGTTCAAACCTTGCTTTTCCCCAACTTAATAAAACTTTTATGACTTTGGGGAAACTAATATATCTTTCCTAATCCTAGATATTTTTTTTCCTGTAAAATGTGAATGGTGATATTGGTAATATTGATCTCAGAGAAAAACTGAAAATTAAATGAGATGGGACCAGCAGATGGCATAATGGTTACATCACTGGACACCTACATAGTCAAACGTGTAGTTCAAGTCCCAGACCCAGCGACTTAAAACTCACAATAGGCACATGTGCATGTGTGCCCAAGATCCCAAGAGAATGGAGGAGAAGGGATTGTGGCATGGCCATCTTCCTGGGGGAAGGGGTTACTTCTTGCTTTCTGTCTCTCTGTCTCTCTAGTGTGCACACACACCCTAGAGCAAAATTCTCTAAAAAAAAAAAAAATTAAATGAGATAAGCATATAATGTATATTCAAAGATGTCTACCTTGAATTTAATAACAATGAAGTATATTAATTCAATACCTTTTGGATAATTCCTTTTTGTGCTCTGTTTCTATTTCTCTGCTTTCCCTAAGGGTTTTTACCTCATTTGGTGCTACTTCATCATGCTGTGGATAGCAAAAGAAACCACATTTTAAAAATCAGCATACCAATGACCCTGACCCTGACCCTGACCTTTTCTTTACGGTTGTTTTCTCATTTATAAAACTCAACAATATTATTAATGATCTTTAAGGTCCTTTTAAACCATATCATAAAGTTCTAACATACTCAACCATTATTATCAAATAACAACCATTCTCTTATCACAGATGTCCCTGGAAACATTATGACAAGTCAAACATTAGATATTTTGATCCTTAGAACAACAAACTATTAGCTCCTAGCCAAAGATACTGAAAGAACTATATTGTTTTCAGATGATGACATATTGGGAGGAAAAACAAATTAGCCCAGCCACAGTGGCACAAGCAGTAGGGTACTATTGCACAGGCAATTGCTGGGGCAATGTGAGAGACCAACATTCAGATTCTGGAACAACCTTAACAGGCTGGGCATAGACACTGTAATCAGTGTCTATAATCATTAATTCAATATCCCCTACTATACAGCCTATCATTAAATTTCCCACAAAATGCCTTTTATATCTTATTTATTTATTTATTTGGTTAAAAAGGAAAAGTCCAGAACCCAGTCAGGTTTATACATCATACTTGGTTGTTATGTCTCTTAATCTAGAACAGTCCACTTGCCTTTTTTTTTTTCTTTTTTCCTTTCTTTCTTTTTTTTTTTTTAGAGGTTTTTGCTATAGGGCGCATGTGCTCACCAGAGAGACAGAAAGTGAGAAATCGCCCCCCAGAAGGAATGGCCATGCTGCAGTCCCTTCTCCTCCATTCTCCTCTCAGGATCTTGGGTACTCACGCACATGTGCCCGACATGAGTTTAAGCCACTGGGTCCGGGACTCAAACTGCGGTCAACTACATGAGAGTCTAGCGATGTAGCCATTACACCATCTGCTGGTCCCCACTTGACTTTTTTTTCTTTCTTTTTTTTTTTTTCTTGGAGAGGTTTTGGCTATAGGGCGCGTGCGCTCGCCAGACAGACAGAGACAGAGAGACGGAAAGCGAGAAATCACCCCCCAGGGGGGATGGCCACGCTGCAATCCCTTCTCCTCCGTTCTCTTGGGATCTTGGGCACGCACACATATGCGTCTGGCGTGAGTTTTAAGCCACCGGGTCCGGGATGCGAACTGCGGTCGAATACATGGGAGTCCAGCGCCATAGCCATTACGCTAACTGCTAGCTCTTGACTTGTATTCTTGAAGAGGTTCCGAAAGACTAGTTATTTATCACAGCAGGTTGAACATAATGAGGTTGTCTCAATTTTGCTGATGCTAAATTCAAGCAGTTGGGTAAGCTGGTGTCAGCCAGAACTCTCTATTGTAAAAGTATGATTGTTTACCTTTGTAATTAATGTTATCTGTGGGCAATAACTTGAGATCATGGTCCATAAATGACCCTTGCCTAAATCAATTATTATATTGGTGGCTGTAAAATGGGGATTTTTCTGTTCTATTATTATACGTGTGTGTGTGTAGTTTTTTTTTTCCAGAGAACATGCGTACTCACCAGAGACAGAAAGAGAGAGAGAGAGAATGCCTATAGTCATGCCACAATCCTTTCTCTTCCAAATCTTCCTCCTTTAGGGATCCTGAGCACACATGCATATACTCACCCTCTCCTGGCGTGTTTTTCAAGCCGTTGGGTTTGGGGCTCCAACCCTGTGGTCCACCATGTGGGATCCAGCTGTGTTAATTCCAAGGTCACGGAGCTGGCCCTTTCCTATATTTATTCACTGTTATTCTTCTGTAAAGAAAAATTTCCCTACCCCACCCTCTCTTTCTTTTTTCTTTTGTGCTTCCTTTTTTTTTTTTTCTTTTTTTTATGCTTTTGAAGAATTACTATGGACTCATGGAATTTTTTTTCATTTAATGTATTATAACCCCTTACTGTCATTATTCTTTTTAATGCTCAAATTATCCCAAATTTGGCTGTTGCATAAAGATTTTTAAAAGAGGTTTTTGCTATAGGGCTCAAAGAGACAGAAAGCGAGAAATCATCCCCCAGCGGGGATAGCCATATGGCATCCCTTCTTCTCCAGTCTCCTCTCAGGATTTTAGGCAAGCACACACATGCAACCAGCATGAGCTTTAAGCCACAAGATCCAGGCCTGGAACTGCAGTTGACTACATGTGAGTTCAATGATGTAACCATTACACCATCTGCTGGTCCCTTGCATAAAGATTTTGAAGTAAGTCAAAAGCACAACTAAATTTGAAGAAGTATGGCAAAGGGTATAAAACACCAGTTTTCAATATTATACATATTTTTGCACATAGTAGGTTATATTATCATTATTGCTGTCTGTCAAACAATGCACATATATACAAGGTTACTCATTAAATTGAAAGGGTACATTATTCCAGCAGAAAATGAATAGCTCAGGAGCCAGGACATTTGTATATGAAGCAAAGATTTAGTTACACAGGACACAAAAGCATGAGGTAAAAATCTGTAACCATTTTTCTAGTGAAATATAATGAACAAAAACACTTTCCCACACTTATTTTAGAGACATTGTGGAATTTTTATAGCATTTTTATAAAATACACTTAGAGAGAATATTAGGAAATTTTTAATATGCCAATGACTTCATGTTATTAAGACTGTTTCATTCCAAGTTATACAAATTTTAACTCAAGTTCAGTCAGTATTTTCAAGTGAAAGATAGCCTAAATGGAATTGGATTTTCTTTGGTTCTGTTAAAAATTTTGGTACAACCTACTAAACTATGGCTAAAGTATTGATTCAAGTACAATAATAGAAAAACATAAGTGGCAAAATATTAAAATGTTCTAGGAGAGGGGAAGGTGAGTAAAAAGCATTATTTAAACAGATTGAACAGGGGAGGATGTCTGTACTGGCTCCATCTTCTTGCTTAAAGTCACCTGGGTCTCGAGCTGCCTGATCAGGATTCTCATCTAAAGTGGAAGGACAAGTCAGGATTTGAGGTACTCTTATTACATGATTCACTTTCCAGAATGAGACACCCTTCAAAACTGAGTCATCGGTAGAATTAGGTGAGCTAGGCTCTGTGATAGTGCTGTCCAGAACGTATCCTTTCTATAATGACATCTGTTGGGGTCCCACCTAGCTTACAAAATTTTTTTAAGGTATGGTTTATTATTTTGGTGCAATTTTTTTAATCTATACAATTTTTTTCATAATATGTATTTTCCATAAACTTCTCCCCTTCCCCCCTTGCCATGTGGTTCACTCTCTGGCCACCTTCAGTTTTTTACTAAGTGTCAACTTCTTAGTGACAGCTTCTTTGACAACTCCTTTTAAAACTGCTACCTCTACCTGGATGTGCTCTAGCCCTTCCTGCGATTTATTTCCTGTTACTTTCTCATGCGCTATTCAATTCTCTTACGGAGTATCTTCTGTTTCTTTCCTTTCTCTCCCTGGAAAGGTCTGAGAGGGCAGCAATTTTCCTGTTTTACTGTAATCCCACAGCTGGCTTATCACAGCGACAGCAGAGCTCAGACTCTCTACTCCGAGTCACAACAAATGCCAGAAGGACACAAACTCTCTCTGCCCCAGCCCCTGGGATGGGCTCCAGTGCCCACTGCCTGCTGGAGGCCATGCCCACCGATGTCACTGATCAACATGACCTGGGTGTTGGCAGGGATGTGCTGCTTGAAGACCTGATGCTGCTCCTCTCCCACCAGTGCCACGTGGTGCCCAGAGGTATCCAGGACCTTGACAGGTGTCAGGACAAACAGGCGAAACCAGCCCTCGGGGCTCACTGCCACCACTAGGTTCTTCCGTTTGTTACAGACAACCCCAATCCCAATGCAAGTCAGCATTCCCTAGCAGGAACAGGTGAGTCACAGCCAGTTGTCATCATTCTTACATACAACTTTCCGCTGGTGTTGCTTTCCACTAGTTCATTGAAGGTGTCGTTATGGAGGTCTCCGAGGCAGATGTGTGCAGGGAGAGACTCCTGCTGACCGCCAGTGCCACACATTGTGCTAGCTAACCGACTGGGAGGCACATCCCAGGGGCAGAGGGTTCCAGGAGCCCAAAAAAATGTCACCCATCAGCCGCCCAACCAGAAGGCCTTAGCTTACAATTTTTAATCTCTGAAATTCTATCTCTACCCCCACCTCAATATTATACATATTTATTGAAGAGTGTTAATTAAAACACTTAAAAATAGCATAGCACAGAATTAAATCAATCAAAATCTACATTGGGGTAAAAACTGGTAAATATCATGAACCTATTACTTTTGTTTCATGTATTTTATTTACTTCATGAGAAAAAAGTGTGTGCACATAAGAGAGAGAGAGAGAGAACGAGCGAGACAGGCACACCCTGGACAGGGTCTCATCACATTGCAATCCCCTTTCCCTAGTCCTCCAGCTAGTCAGGATCTTGAGTGTTATGTATACTCAGTATGTGTAGCAGGTCAGCTAGGGACCCAAACCTGTGGTTGGCCATATGACTTCCAGCAGTGCATTAAGTGCTGTCCTGCTTATGCCACTGAGGTTTGTTATAACTTAATATTGCTGACAGAGCAAATTTTAAAATTTATTATGTGAATAATTCTATTTATACAAATATATTTCGTTTTCACTAATGTGCTACTATAAAAACAATGTCAAGCCAAAAAATATGGAATAAAAGCATGTCCCTTCAATTTTTTAACATGGGGCCAAAAGGTGGCATGATAGTTAAGGTGCTAGATCTCACATGGCCGATTCCACAGTTTGGGTCCTAGAGCCAGTGACCTGAAAAACACGCTAGCTGTGTGTGTGTGTGCACACGTGCATGTCCAAAGAGAGGAGAAGAAGGGATTGTAGCTTGGCCATCCCCCAACGGGGTGATTCTCACTTTCCCTCTCTTTATATCTCTCTCTGACTCTCTCCAGAGAGTGAACATGCTCTATGGCAAAAACATCTAAAAAATTTTTTTCTTCTTAATCATGATGTTAACATGTAATAAATAAATATGTTTAGGATTACACTGCTTTCAGAAAATTTTGTAACTGTATCTTCTTAATTTATTCTTACCTTTTCTATCAGAAAATGTTGGTCTTGTTCCCAAATAAAGCTACCAATTTTTCTTCTTATTTCTGTGGTGAGAAAAACAAATCCAATACCATTAACATTTTTGTAGACTCTCCTAACTTTTTCCTGAAGTCTGAAATATCTAAACCAGCATTATTCTACTTTCATCAAAATCACCTGAAGTATTTGTCAAACTACAGGTTCCTATTGAGTCAGATTATTGTGGAATAGCTCACGAATTTGCATTCAACAAGCTCCACAGATGATTTAATGCATTATGATAATCGTTATTTAATTATAACAAAATACTTCATCTGAATCTAATTATGAGTGAACAATCATACAAACCCAGAATATGGACCATACCACAAGACAACCAACTGGTCTGAACTATTCAAATCATTGTAGACTTTTCCTGCTGGGATATATACCTTAATTACACTCAGTGTCTCCATTAAGTCAAGCATTAATAAAGAAGACAATGGGAGCTGGCAGGTGACGAGGTGGTTAAAGGCACTGGATTCCCACATGGCTGACTATGGTTCGAGTCCTGGACCTGGTGGCTTGCTTTCCCACTTTCCCTTTCTCTCTCTCTCTCTGTGTCTCTGTCTGGTCAAAGTGAAAAGTAATAGTAACAAATGGAATTAAATAAATAAATAAATAAATCTTTTTTTTTTTAAAATGGCAATGTCCAGTCAAAAAGTATAAAATTGCTGAATCTATAGAGCAGAGGACCTTAAGAATGAATTTACTTAGCTAAAATAAGGGTGATAAACAATATACTCAGTAGGCATGGTAATGCAGGAATTCTATAGTGGTCAGTATATTGAAGGACTGAGTATATCATCATCCTAATGCAATGATCTCAAAAGTTTTCATAATAGTCCACTGGAGGACAAAGAGTAACATTACTCTAGACTTTTGCAGTCCAACTTGAGAGCCATTAGCTACTTGTGTAACTAGACCAAACTGAGATGTGTTGTAAGTGTATAATAAACTCAGGATTTCAAACAGTATAAAAAAAAGGAAAGTATCTCAATAATTTTTATATGATTATATATTGAAATACCAATAGGTTGAATATATTAGGTTAAATAAAATATATTTTAAAAATTAATTTCACTTCTTTTTATTTTCTTTATTCTTTAATGTGGTTACTAGAAAATTTTAAATTCATGTGTCCCACACATACATTTCACATTTTCACTGAACTAAATACTATTCTAGGTGGAGAAAAATACATTTAATTTTTAAAATGAGCATGTCTTCATTTAAAACAAACTTTAAAAAATATAAATACAGGAGCCAACAGATGGTGTGGTAGGTAAGACACTGGACTCCCACATGGCTGATCCCAGTTCAAGTCCCCAACTCAGAGACTTGAAAATCATACCAGGTGCATGTGCATGCATGCCCAAAATCTGGAGAGGAGAATAGAAGAGAAGGGATTCCAGCATGGTCATCTCATGGGGGATGGGGGAATGATTTCTCACTTTCCTTCTCTATCTCTCTCCAGTGAGCACATACACCCTATGACAAAAACCTAAAATAAATAATATATATAAATATATGTTAATATAAGATGCTAAACTTAAAGATAGATTAGGAATGATCATTTAAAATCAGGTCAAATAATCATTCTACAATATAAGCTCCTTAAAGGTGGGGATTCACTGATTGACACACATAGTTCTTGATAAATCATTTCTCTCACTCAGCTCATCATTAATTTATTTGCATAACTGTGTAGAACAATTTAGTGTTATAAATTATAACTAGGTCTTGACAGGATATCAAATATGGAAGAAACCCAATCTCGGGTTTCTAAAGGCTCTTCTATGGAAATACTTTTCAAGTTTTTTGTTTTGTTTTTGTTTTTAGTATTCTTCTCGATAGAAATCTGTTCTCAGCCTTAATCTGTCATTCTGAGATGGGTACATATTAATTGGATAGACAAGGTATACAACAAGAATTGAGTAATAATACAAGACCTACAAAGATGTTATATTTAAAGTTTATCCAGAAGATTTCAACCACCAAAGACCCTCTGCCCAGACCTCACCCTCCTGCTTCCCAGTCTAGCCAGGAGTCAGGATAAGCCAATTAGCATCCATGTATAACTGAGTTCTGAACAGCCCATTCAGGGATTTCAACCACCAAAGACTCTCTGCCCCAAAATATCTGAACACTTTTAGGGTAACATTAACCCTTGATTTTCATTGAGTCAGTTGTGCAAAGGGAGAAAAATGGTACTGTTCACAGACTGTAAGTCACTTCCTTCTGCATTCCTCTGATTGCTCAGATTTAACTCCAAAAAATAGGAAAAAATGTATAGTCTATCAGATGACTAGAAACCACCACAGAAGCACAAGAAATATGAGAAACAAACAAAAAAATCTCTCCTCTAATGGAAAAGAGTAACTCCTCTTTCTCCACAAATAATATAAGGGGGGAACCACCAGCTAATGTAATGGCTATGTCGCTGGACTCCCACATAGTTGACCGCGGTTCGCGTCCCGGACTCGGTGGCTTAAAACTCATGCCAGGCGCGTGTGCGTGCGTGCCCAAGATCCCGAGAGGAGAATGGAGGAAAAGGGATTGACCATCCCCCCGGGGGGTGATTTCTTGCTTTCTGTCTCTATGTCTCTCTCTGTCTGGCGAGTGCACGTGCCCTATAGCAAAAACCTCTCCAAAATTTTCTATCAGAAAATGTTGGTCTTGTTCCCAAATAAAGCTACCAATTTTTCTTCTTATTTCTGTGGTGAGAAAAACAAATCCAATACCATTAACATTTTTGTAGACTCTCCTAACTTTTTCCTGAAGTCTGAAATATCTAAACCAGCATTATTCTACTTTCATCAAAATCACCTGAAGTATTTGTCAAACTACAGGTTCCTATTGAGTCAGATTATTGTGGAATAGCTCACGAATTTGCATTCAACAAGCTCCACAGATGATTTAATGCATTATGATAATCATTATTTAATTATAACAAAATACTTCATCTGAATCTAATTATGAGTGAACAATCATACAAACCCAGAATATGGACCATACCACAAGACAACCAACTGGTCTGAACTATTCAAATCATTGTAGACTTTTCCTGCTGGGATATATACCTTAATTACACTCAGTGTCTCCATTAAGTCAAGCATTAATAAAGAAGACAATGGGAGCTGGCAGGTGACGAGGTGGTTAAAGGCACTGGATTCCCACATGGCTGACTATGGTTCGAGTCCTGGACCTGGTGGCTTGCTTTCCCACTTTCCCTTTCTCTCTCTCTCTCTGTGTCTCTGTCTGGTCAAAGTGAAAAGTAATAGTAACAAATGGAATTAAATAAATAAATAAATAAATTTTTTTTTTTTAAATGGCAATGTCCAGTCAAAAAGTATAAAATTGCTGAATCTATAGAGCAGAGGACCTTAAGAATGAATTTACTTAGCTAAAATAAGGGTGATAAACAATATACTCAGTAGGCATGGTAATGCAGGAATTCTATAGTGGTCAGTATATTGAAGGACTGAGTATATCATCATCCTAATGCAATGATCTCAAAAGTTTTCATAATAGTCCACTGGAGGACAAAGAGTAACATTACTCTAGACTTTTGCAGTCCAACTTGAGAGCCATTAGCTACTTGTGTAACTAGACCAAACTGAGATGTGTTGTAAGTGTATAATAAACTCAGGATTTCAAACAGTATAAAAAAAAGGAAAGTATCTCAATAATTTTTATATGATTATATATTGAAGTACCAATAGGTTGAATATATTAGGTTAAATAAAATATATTTTAAAAATTAATTTCACTTCTTTTTATTTTCTTTATTCTTTAATGTGGTTACTAGAAAATTTTAAATTCATGTGTCCCACACATACATTTCACATTTTCACTGAACTAAATACTATTCTAGGTGGAGAAAAATACATTTAATTTTTAAAATGAGCATGTCTTCATTTAAAACAAACTTTAAAAAATATAAATACAGGAGCCAACAGATGGTGTGGTAGGTAAGACACTGGACTCCCACATGGCTGATCCCAGTTCAAGTCCCCAACTCAGAGACTTGAAAATCATACCAGGTGCATGTGCATGCATGCCCAAAATCTGGAGAGGAGAATAGAAGAGAAGGGATTCCAGCATGGTCATCTCATGGGGGATGGGGGAATGATTTCTCACTTTCCTTCTCTATCTCTCTCCAGTGAGCACATACACCCTATGACAAAAACCTAAAATAAATAATATATATAAATATATGTTAATATAAGATGCTAAACTTAAAGATAGATTAGGAATGATCATTTAAAATCAGGTCAAATAATCATTCTACAATATAAGCTCCTTAAAGGTGGGGATTCACTGATTGACACACATAGTTCTTGATAAATCATTTCTCTCACTCAGCTCATCATTAATTTATTTGCATAACTGTGTAGAACAATTTAGTGTTATAAATTATAACTAGGTCTTGACAGGATATCAAATATGGAAGAAACCCAATCTCGGGTTTCTAAAGGCTCTTCTATGGAAATACTTTTCAAGTTTTTTGTTTTGTTTTTGTTTTTAGTATTCTTCTCGATAGAAATCTGTTCTCAGCCTTAATCTGTCATTCTGAGATGGGTACATATTAATTGGATAGACAAGGTATACAACAAGAATTGAGTAATAATACAAGACCTACAAAGATGTTATATTTAAAGTTTATCCAGAAGATTTCAACCACCAAAGACCCTCTGCCCAGACCTCACCCTCCTGCTTCCCAGTCTAGCCAGGAGTCAGGATAAGCCAATCAGCAGCCATGTGTATTTGAGTTATGAGCAGCCTTATTCAGACATTTCAACCATTGAAGACCCTCTGCCCAGACTTCATCCTCCTGCTCCCCAGTCTAGCCAGGAGTCAGGATAAGCCAATTAGCATCCATGTATAACTGAGTTCTGAACAGCCCATTCAGGGATTTCAACCACCAAAGACTCTCTGCCCCAAAATATCTGAACACTTTTAGGGTAACATTAACCCTTGATTTTCATTGAGTCAGTTGTGCAAAGGGAGAAAAATGGTACTGTTCACAGACTGTAAGTCACTTCCTTCTGCATTCCTCTGATTGCTCAGATTTAACTCCAAAAAATAGGAAAAAATGTATAGTCTATCAGATGACTAGAAACCACCACAGAAGCACAAGAAATATGAGAAACAAACAAAAAAATCTCTCCTCTAATGGAAAAGAGTAACTCCTCTTTCTCCACAAATAATATAAGGGGGGAACCACCAGCTAATGTAATGGCTATGTCGCTGGACTCCCACATAGTTGACCGCGGTTCGCGTCCCGGACTCGGGGGCTTAAAACTCATGCCAGGCGCGTGTGCGTGCGTGCCCAAGATCCCGAGAGGAGAATGGAGGAGAAGAAATTGTGGTGTGGCCATCCCCCCCGGGGGGTGATTTCTTGCTTTCTGTCTCTATGTCTCTCTCTGTCTGGCGAGTGCACGTGCCCTATAGCAAAAACCTCTCCAAAAAAATAAAAATAATAATACAAGGGAACACATGGAATTGTCAGATAAAGAATTTAAAATATTCATAGCCATAAAGCTAACACAGATGCAAGAGAATAGAGACAACGAACTCCAGAAGATGCAGAAGAGACACCAAGTTCCAGGAGATGAGGAAGTTCTTGCATGATCTGAAAGAGAAGATACACATCATAAAAAAGAATCAAACAGAATTGTTAGAGATGAAGGCTGTAATACAGGAAATGGAAACCTCCCTTGAAAATATCAAAACCAGATTAGATTATGCAGGAGATCAATTTTCAGATGTAGAAGATAGAACCTCTGACCTAAAAAAATTTACCAAAAAGACTGAGAAAATAACCCCCCAAAATTAGAATAACATATGAATACTACTAGATACCATTAGATGCCCAAACATCAGGATCATCGGTATCCCAGGTGAAGAAACTAATAAAGGCATTGATAATTTATTCATTGAAATCCTGGAAGAAAACTTTCCAAATCTTGAGAGGCATTCAAATATCCAGATCCAAGAAATACAAAGGATCCCACATAGAATCAACACAAGAAGATCTTCTCCAAGGCACATCATAGCCAGATTAGCCAAAACCACAGACAGAGACAAGATACTAAATTTGGCAAGAGAGAAACGTCAAGTTACTTTCAAAAGATATCCCATCAGGCTAATGCCATACCTCTCATCAGAAACTATGCAAGCAGGGACCAGCAGTTAGCGTAATGGCTATGTCGCTGGACTCCTACGCAGTTGACCATGGTTCGCATCCTGGACTCAGTGGCTTAAAACTCACGCCGGCTGCATGTGCGTGCATGCTCAGGATCCCGAGAGGAGAATGGAGGAGAAGGGATTGTGGCGTGGCCATCCCCCCTGCGGGTGTGTGTGTGTGTGTGTGTGTGTGTGTGTGTGATTTCTCGCTTTCTGTCTCTGTCTCTCTCTGCCTGTCTGGCAAGCGCATGCGCCCTATAGCAAAAACCTCTCCAAAAAAAAAGAAAAGAAAAAGAAACTATGCAAGCAAGGAAAGAATGGGAAAATATATTCAAAGTGTTAAGTGAAAAACAATTTCAACCAAGAATACTATACCCGGCAAGATTATCTTTCATAGAGAAAAAAAAGACAAAAATATTCTCAGATAAACAAAACCTGAAAGAATTTACCAACACCAGACCAGCTCTCGAAGAAGTGCTGAAGAGAGTGCTATACCAAGAAAACTAAAGTCAGACACACAAAAATAAGAGTATAAGAAACAACCAAGAGAATGGCCAGCCTAATGGTAGGGACAATTGCGGAGTTGAATGTTAACTTCCAGAGTTTAAATGGAAAGATCAGACCATAGTAATAGTAACACAGCAAATTCAATAGAAGAGAGATTATGTGAGTCTGAACTAGTGAAATAGAATTCTTTTACTTTAGACTAAAACATTACTGATTTTCTTTGATGCTTTGCTTTCCATATTTAAGGATTTCTGTCTTCTCTTGAACTGTTGATAGGTTCATCAACCTACTGTTTGAACTGAATTCTAACCTTTTTCTTGGCTTTAAGTTTTAAGCAAATTTCTCTTAATATCTTTTTATTTTGATCTATTAAAACTAAATATTTTTCATTAAAAATGCATTGAAATATCTATTATCTATTTAATGACTGCAGTAAGCTATAGCCCAATCAAGATGCTACTTTATAATATGTTCACTTTACTCAGTGAAGTTTACACCTAAAGTCAGACATGCATTCATAAATACGTATATATTAGTTGTGTTTGCTAGTGAAAGTCTTTAAATTAATTAAGATCTTAAGTGATGCAATAAAATGTGAAAAAAAAAAAGGGCACGGAAAACTGTACATGCCAGAGACAATGTGGGAGAAGGGGAGAGTTGACAGAGGGTGAGAGGTAGGGAATTGGGGTGGGGGGGGAGAGCAAAATATATAAGAAACAAGAAATAGAAAGTTATTTGTTGATGGTAACATGTGTGGTAATATCCTTGATTGAGCTGATATACAATGTATACTGGATGGAAAATCTCATTTTATATACTATATTGATGTACAGTGAATGATTGTAAATTAATTAAATAGGCCTATTATCCAATCAGTCTTTAAATATCAGGGGAAATTTTTCAGGAAAATAATAAAGAGATTAGAAACTAGCCATGAACATATTTATTAAATGTCCAGCACACATCATAAATACCTTAATGAATTACTGCACTAGTCTCAAAATGGGAGCAGTTAAGCATCTTGTTTAAGATGACAAAATTAGTAAGCCTGAGATCATGGCCAGTGAGCACTGTGAAGGCAAGATTTGCATCTGTCTCATCATCAGTGAATCCCCAGAACCTGGGATGAAAGCTGGCACACAGGAGAAGCTCACTAAATGTGCAAATAAACAGTGAAACAAAGTCAGGATATATACCCAAGTCAATGTGATCCAAAGTCCATGCTTTTTGCATTTATATTAAATCATACAAAATTCAAAAATCTTTTATTGAGAACTAAGATCAATAAAATTGGATTTGGCTGTTTAACAGGGATTGGTTGAACGATCTTTGCTAACCTTCTTGCAGGCATGTGGGAGGAAGAATAAAATGACCTAGAGCCACTGAGTTTTTTACTTCACCATTAGCTACAGCAGCAAGATAGTAGGCATGAAAAACTGTAGCATTGTCTTCTAAGTAGTCAGGGCTTTGATATATCCTAAAAGAAAGAAAGAAAATCTTTTCAGTTATGAAATAAACAAAAGAGCAAATGACTAGAAGTTGAGGATGGTTACATCCAAGGATACATTTATGCTGGTCCTTTTTTTCTGTCAAGGAAGAAGAAACACATAGCATAAGATAGTAGTAGTTATGAGGCCTAAATCTAGGCAAATCTTAGTTCTAGAGACTTGGTTAATGATTATATGAATTTAGAAACTCGACCTAAAGTACTGTTTACTGGACATCTACAGTAGACTGAGAGCCAGCAGCCTATGACTTCTATTCACAATCACTGCTATACAGAGGGGTCCATTAATTCTGAGGTAAAGTGGGCATGCAGTCAGTGAAGACTTTACAAGTAGAAGACAGTATCTTTTCTAGGTGGGTAAAAAGGTAAGCAAGGAAGAGAAGAAGAAAGGGAAGGGAAGGGAAGGGAAGGGAAGGGAAGGGAAGGGAAGAGAAGGGAAATGGATGCGTAAAGGCACAATAAATTGGGAAATAAACAAGGTAGGCACTAGCCAAAATCTCAACCTGTAGGAAATTTGGAGGAGAGCAGGGCAGGAGGATGGTAGGGCCTAGATCAGATCTGTTTTGTAAACATCTGACAGCAATGTGGAGGGGGATCACAAGGGTCCAATTTGAAGCAGAGTAACCTCTTAAAAGTTTCTGCAGTAGTCTGGGTTTGGAGACAACTAAGCTGATACAACAATAAAATAGTGGCAGTGAGGATGAAGAACAATTATAGGGATCAATTAATGATATGTGGTCACTCAGTGATTAATGAGGGTAGGGGTTGTTATTCAAAGGAGACTAAGAAGGTTTTCGCTTGGACAACACAGGACCTGGAGTTGGTATGAGGGGTAATCAGAAGATTTGGCTGAGGCAGGTTGAATATGAGGGGCCTCCCCGTGGAGCTGCAAGACAGCAGGAAACACACGGCTGGATATCAGGAAGAGACCCAGGGACAAAGTAGACGGCCATGACTTTGGGATGGACTCAGATGAAGAAAGGTTATATATCCCAACTCTCCCGACCCCTCAACATCTAGACATCTAGGACTGAAAATGCGTTCATCTCTAGTCTCACTCTTTCGTCAATATTGATCAGTAACAGCAACTCCACCCTCAACTCCGGCTCATCCTAACACAAGAGGCACTGCCTGGAAGCCCTGAGATACCTCAGCGTGTCCGGGTGCGAAGCGTCACAGCTGAACAGGAAGTCGGCAGTCGGCGGGTCGCTGACCGTCCCTCCTTCAGCCGCTGTGGAGGCAAGGACATGGGGTGTGCCTAGCAGGCACCCTGGCTCCAAGGCATTGGCGAGGGGAGGGAGCACCCCACACCACCTTACCCACCCCTTCCGCCCTACTTCCTACCCCAGAGCTGCTTCAGGTCCGGGTGGACGCTGCGGCAAAACCAAGCGCGCTGCCCTTGAAACATGGCGCAGCCTTGCCTCTCAGGCTGTGGGCAGGAGCCTGGATGGAGCTGAGGTCGCTGATTGGCTCCAGGTCTGAAGCCGGCCTCGCTGATTGGCTCCCGACGGCAATGAGCGGGAAAGGCCTGAGGCCGGAGGAAGATGACTGGTAGCTCAGACGCGCTGACGGGCTCACTAGGTTGTTTCCAAGCTTCCCAGACTTACTCTGATGCGAAAGATGAGGGGCACTGGGCCTGGTGAGTTGTTTTTGTTTTTGTTTTTTTCCCTAGAGGTTTTTGCCATAGGGAGCGTACACTCATCAGGGAGAGAGACAGAGACAATCAATCTCTTTTCTTCCTTTCTGGTCCCAGCCTGGGGAGTTTATTTATTTGGGGGGGATAGAGATTTTTGCCTTAGAGTGCCTGTGCTCCCCACAGAGAGAGACAGAGACTGTGAGAGAGAACGTGAGAAATCATCCCCCAGGGGAGATGACCCTTCCGCAATCCCTTCTCTTCCATTCTCCTGAGATCTTAGGCATGCATGCACTGGTGCCCAGGGTGAGTTTCAAGCCCACCAGTCCGGGACTTCAACTGAAGTCTACTATTTGGGAGTTCAGTGATGTAATCGCTATGCCATCTGCTGGATCTGGCCTGGTGATTTTTAACCTTAAGTATTAAAAATATTTTTGTACTATGTGGTACAGGCATGGCTGCAGGTTCTGTAGCATCAAGTATTATTTTGAAGCAGAACTCATGTTATTGTTTCATCTATAAATGCTTCCATTTGAATACCTAAAATATGTAGATATTTTACAAATGAAACCATACCATTTTCCCACTTAAAACGTATCTTTTTAGGGGCAAGCAGGCAGCATGGTGATTAAGGTGCTAGAATCCTACATGGCTGACTGTGGTTTGAATCCTGGACCCAGCAGCTTGAAATACACTGGGAGCTTGTGTGTGCCCAAGATCCCCAGAGAATGGAGGAGAAGGGATTTTAGAGTGGCCATCTCTCCCGGGAGGTGATTTCTCGATTTTTGTCTCTCTGGCAAGCACACACACCCTGTACAAAAATCCCTCTAAATAATAATATTTTTTAATATAGTCAGCTATTGCCATTGTTCAAAATTCCAGTTTTCTCCAAATTGTCATGTTTTTATTTTACAGCCCACTCACCACCACTGCCCTCCACCTTGCCCACGCACATCAATTTTGATAAGTTAGATTTTTCTGATGTTGATATAAAATTCCAAAATTATTGGTTTAAAATATTTTATTGTCATGGCCAGCAGGTGGCAGTGCTGGCCTTCTATGTGCCCAACAGTGATTCAAGTCCAAGACCTGGCCACTTCCTTTCTCACTTTCCCTCTCTCTGTCGTTCCCTAGTGAGCATGAGGCCCTATAGCAAATTAAAAATAGTAATAATGATAAATGAAATTAAATAAAAAGAATTCTAAAAAATATTTTATTGTCTTTTTTAGTGCCTGCAGTCTTTGTTGTAAATTTTTTTTTCCATTTCTAATACTGGTTATTTGTTACTTCTCGCTTTTTATTTCCTAGTCTCATAAGAGATTTGTCCATTTTATTAGCCTTTTCAGAGAATAAACTTCTGGTTTTGTTGTTAATACTCTCATGTATTTCTTTTCTGTATCATTAATTTGAGCTCTTCCTTCTATTTCCTTTACTTTTTTTTTTTTTAATAGGTTTTTTACCTTAGGGCATGTGTGTGTGTGTGAGAGAGAGAGAGAGAGAGAGACAGTAAGAAGGAAAGTGAGAAATCACCCCCCGGGGGATGACCATTGCTGCAATCCCTTCTCCTCAATTCTCTTCCCAGGATCTTGGGTGCATACATATGCACCCAGCATGATTTTCTAGCCACCAGGTCTGGGACTCGAACCATGGTTGACCTTGTGGAGTCCAGCAAGGTAACTGCTATACCATCTGCTGGCGCCCTACTTCCTGTAGTTTTAAATTGTTCTTCTTTTTCTAGTTTCTTGAAATAGATGGTTTTTATCCTTTGTTTTCCCAATATGTGCATGTAAGGATATAATTTTCCCCTAAAACTGTGTCAAAAGTTTTTGAAGTGTCAGTGTTTATTGTTGTTCAATTCAAAGTATTTTCAGATTTTCAATAGGAGTCTTTTGACTCATGAATTATTTGAAATATTAAGTTTCCAAATGATAACTAACATGTGATTTGTTGTCTTATTATTGATTTCTGGTTTAAATGCATTAAAGTGAAAGAACATGGCCTGTGTGATTACAATCCTTTGAAATTTGTTGAAACATTTCTTATCACTGAAATATACGGTCAGGGGGATCAGCAGTTAGTGTAATGGCTATGTCGCTGGACTCCTATGTAGTCGACCGCAGTTCGCGTCCCGGACCCAGTGGCTTAAAACTCACGCTGGGCACGTGTACATGCGTGCCCAAGATCCCAAGAGGAGAATGGAAGAGAAGGGATTGCAGTGTGGCCATCCCCCCGGGGGGTGATTTCTCGCTTTCTGTCTCTCTGTCTCTCTCTGTCTAGCGAGTGTACACACCCTATAGCAAAAACCTCTCAAAAAAAGAAGAAATATATGGTCAGTATCCTGTATATGCTTTAAAGAATATCTGGAAGCTATTGTGTGTTCTGAGGTGTTGGAGACAGAGTTTTGTATATATTCATTGGGGCAAGTTTGTCAATCATATTGTCTCATTCTTCTGGTAATTACTGGGAGAGCCGTGAAAAAAACACATACTTTATTTGTAGATTTATCAGTTTCTTTTTGTTATATTGTAGTTGATAGAACCATTAAGCACTTAATTATGAAAGGCAATATAGAATAAATAGAATAAAACTCAGAAGAATATCTTTCTGGCCTCAGGGTAGACAAGGATTTTTTAAATGAAAAACAGCAAATTTAACCATGACAGAAAAGATACATAAATTTGACTACATTAAAATGACAAATTTCTCTTCATCAAAGTCATTGTAGTTGAGTGAAAACACAAGTCACAAAATGAGTGAAGAAATTTGCAGTGCCAAGAGCTAACAAAGGATTGGTATCCAGACTATATCAGTAATGCTACAAATCAGTAAGTCAGACACAAATGACCCAATAGAAAAATGGGAAAATATATGAACAGGCTTTCACAGCAGAGGAACAGCAAATAAACAGTAAATTTATGAAAAGATGCTCAACCACAGTGGTAATTAGAGAAGTGAGATACTATTATGGACCCAATTTACTAGTAAAAATTGAGTTGACGACATAGATTAATGGGAGCTCCTACTGCTGGAGGATATATAAGTCCTTACAATGACTTAGGTCAACAATTCAGCATTACTTACTTAAAGATGTGAACACCCTGTGACCCAGTACTTATCATGTACATACCTAGTAAAACTCTTATTCCCATGCATGTGTACACCACTACACATATACGAGAATGTTTAAGGCAACATTGCTGCTAGTAGCAAAAAAAAAAAAAAAAAAAACCTGGAAATAACCAAATGTTACCAGTAGATTGAGTGTTTAGATAGTTGTATTTCCATACAATGGAATACAACATAATTTTGGATTTTAAAAGACCAAGAAGGCCAGCTCGTGGCATGTTAGTTAAGGTAGCTGAATTCCACGTGGCCGACAACATGGTTTGAGTCCCAGATCTGATGGCTTGAAAAGCAAGTGTGCATGTGTGTCAAAAATCCTAAAAGGAGATATGGAGGAAGAGAAATTGTAGTGTGACCGTTCCCCATAGGGGATACTTTCTCACTTTCTCTCTCTCCATCTTTCTCCAGCAAGTGCACAAGCACTCTGGCAAATTAAAAAAAAAAAAAAAAAGCCCAACAAAGAAGATACATACAGTATGATTTAACTTGTTTGAAACTTAAAAAAAAAAAAAAAAGACAAAGTTAGTGAAACTATGCTTTCAGGGATAGATGTATATGTAATATAGAAAATGCTAAATCATACATTTGTTGGAAAAACATATGTATGTTTTGTTTTGTTTTGTTTTGTTTTGTTTTTCCCAGAAAGCTCTTGCGTTCTCCAGAGAAAAAGAAAGGAGAAAGCATCTCCCAACAGGGCGTGGCCATGCTGCAATCCCCTCTCCATCTCTCCATCCTGTCAAGATTTTGGGCACATATGCACATGTGCATGGTATGTTTTTTATGCTTCCAGGACCAGATTTGAACCCTCTACATTTTCATAGACTGGGATACAATATATAAAATAGCCCCAGTCATGCTTCTCATGTATATCATTTAGGGTTTATTTCTTTTTTTTTTCTTTCTTTCCTTCTTTTTTTTTTTTTTTTTTTTTTTTTTTTTTTTTTAAGTGTTTTT